GTGTGTGTGTGTGTGTGTGTGTGTGTGTGTGTGTGTGTGTGTGTGTGTGCGCGCGTGCGTGCCTCTGTGTAGATATTGCTTCTGGCAGGTGGACTGGAGCGTCTCAAGCTCGAATGTCCCTCTTACCCAGTCGTTGGGGAGATCCAGGACGTCATCAGGAGTCACATTGAGAAAAGGTGGCTGCCTCTGTTCCTGTCCACAGCTGAGTTCACAGAGCGACTGAAACACCAACCAAAGGTGAAAAGCAGCACAACTCATCAAGAAATAGTGTGATATGATAATATTGTTACCACTCCCATGTCTGTCTATTCAACGTATTGCCACAGTCAAGTAGCTTAGCTTAGCATAAGGACTGGAAACGGCTAGCCCAGCTCACTAATTAACTTGTTACATCTCGTTTGTAATCCGTACAAAAATCAGACAAGTTGTGGTGTTATATGCTGGACTGTTTCTTGGCTCTGAGTGGTTGCCAGGAAACCAGCAGAGACTTTAGGAAGTTACTGGTCCCATCCAAAGAATAGTCCCATTACTTATACTTCAGTTTTAGTATGGATTGCACAAACAAGATATTAAGTTTTGGCCTTGTGTTGCATCAATAATGAATAGCTCTCTGGTAAATGGCTTGTGTCTGTTCCTAATAAAACGATAGATTCCTGTTGTGTTATGGCCTTGAGCGAGGAGAGAGATAAGAGCACATGCTATGTGAGAAACCACTAAACGCAGTTGCTTTCTCAGGTTGCCTCATCAGGTGGTAACACACAAACTGCAGATTCCACTGCGCTGCCTCATTACGTTATCGAGTTTACCATGTTTGGTTACACAGATCCTCTCATTAAGTAATCGGATGCAGACATAGTTTAGCATTACATGGAATGGTGGAAAAGACGCTGGGAGACAGTTGACATCAGAGAGGCAAGGGTATGTCTAAGAGGCGATTGGATGAATAAGGTCAGAGGAAATAAAGACCGAGGCAAGGTTAAAGGTAAAAGAGGAGAGAGAGCTTTAGTTACAGCCGGTGACGACGAGCAGCAGAGTGCAGTGTTCAGTGTTCAGTGTCTCTGTTAATCCTGGTTTATTCACTTTCTGACTTTTGAATCGTGTGTTTCTGTGTGTGGTAGCCCCAAGCACCGGACAGACTCTCACAACACGTCTACCGTCGACGCAGAGCGAGGAGAGAAGCCTGGAAGGTAAGGAGGAATCCTCCGGGGAAGCTGGATATTTTCAGTGGAGAGAAATAAGGCATTTCCTGGCCTGAAAGCATGTGTGATTTAGTTCACGACTTGGCTCCGAGCACTGGCTTTGTCAAACACCATTTTGGCCTTGTGGTTAGTTTTCCCAAATTGGATCCAGGATAAATGAGATTAAAGCATCAGCATTACTAACCTTCCTTTAATAGTGTTTGGAGTGTTTTCCATGCAGCTCTGCTGCTGTCCTCTCATTTCATTATCCACAGCAGAGCACAGATATAAAACATGTACATTTCACATTTCAAGCAGGATGATTACAGGAAGGAGTTTTCCATACATGATTATGACTATTGTCTTTATGATCATTATCTCATCACTGGCAAAGAGCAGCTTTACTGAATAAAGGTGAGTATCATTATCTCAGTTTTCTGTGAGCTAAGACTGTAGCTCATAGGTCACAGATCATCTTTCGGGCTGTTGTTCAGGAGCACACTACTATATCCACTGTGCACACAAGGTTTTGTTCGACTGTTAACACACAAGGAGGTCATTATATGTATTTGATCTATCCCTGAGGGAGCAGTGTGCTTTCAAACATAACATTCCTCTGCTGTGTGTCCCTGCAGGCCGAGGGCTTGTGGATGAGTTCCTCCAAAGAGATCCTGCTGTTTCGACGGATCCTTCTCAACCCTGCCACCTGTATACAGTTCCAGCACTTTGTCTCTCTGAAAGGAGACTTCCTGGAAAGCGATGTGCTCTTCTGGCTGGAGGTGCAGAGATACAAGGTAAAGGAGGACGATGTGCTGGTGGTTCTCATGCTGTGACTCTTTGGTGCATGCCATTCCATATTAACTATGAAAGGAAATCAAAAAAGCATATAAGGAGTAATTTAAGTCCCCCTCCATTAAAATGTGTTTGTTGTTACTTTACAGTTGAGCTTCATTGTGTAGAGTTTGCTCTCACATTCATCTGCTGAAGGGGCAAAGTTTCTCTGTGCTCACCTTCAGTCTTAGTTTAAAACATAATGTGGAAACTTGAAACCTCCTGGTCACAATGGACTATTCAGTGTAGTACATTAGACATTACATTAGACATTACATTACATTAGACATTACATTAGACATTACATTACATTAGACATTACATTAGACATTACATTAGTAGGAGACATTACATTACATTAGACATTACATTACATTAGTAGGAGACATTACATTACATTAGACATTACATTACATTAGTAGGAGACATTACATTAGACATTACATTACATTAGTAGGAGACATTACATTACATTAGCAGGAGACATTACATTACATTAGACATTACATTAGTAGGAGACATTACATTACATTAGTAGGAGACATTACATTAGACATTACATTACATTAGTAGGAGACATTACATTAGACATTACATTAGTAGGAGACATTACATTACATTAGTAGGAGACATTACATTAGACATTACATT